TCTGCAGAAATTAGAGGATAAGATAGAGGAGAATCATAAGAAGCTCAGAGAGGAGATTAAAGGAGACCTTCTCCAAATCTCGGCAGTACGGATCAGAGGTTCTGGTATCCAAGGCAGACGTCTCCCAGGTGGTGAGAGATGGTACACCCCATGAAATGAGCTGTGGTTCTACCTATGTGATTGTGGAGAAAACATGGGGAGGTGGGATGGAAAACCTACTGCTGTTCTGGCACGACGGGTGCGTGAACTGAAGGAAGACACCAGAAGGAAAACAGCTCCAGTTGTCCGTAGCCGAATTGCCAGGTATGATGATGATGACCTGTCTGATCTCCTTAAAGGAACATCCAAGACATATGCCCAGGGTAGGAAGGATAACCAGGCTTAGAAGGGCCTTGCCTCTAGCCAGGTAGAGGCCAGGGAAAATCGTGTTTGCTGGTCCGTGTGGATTCGTTGGCCTGGCACATCAGAACCACAAGAGTACAAAGCTTTGGTCGATACTGGTGCGCAATGTACATTAATCCCATCAAGACATGTAGGGACAGAGTCTGTCTCCATTGCCGGTGTTACAGGGGGATCCCAGGATTTCACTTTGGTGGAAGCTGATGTGAGCCTGACTGGGTATGAATGGAAGAAACATCCTATCTTGACTGGGGCCCAGACGCCCCATGTATTTTGGGCATAGACTACCTTCAGAGTGGGTTTCAAAGTGGAAAGTGGGTTTGAAATTTCAAAGACCTAAAGGGACTCAGATGGGCATTTGGAATAGCTGCTGTAGAGACAGAGGGCATCAAGCAGTTGAACAGCTTGCCTGGACTGTCAGAAAACCCATCTGCAGTAGGACTCCTGAAGGTAGAAGAGCAACAAGTGTCAATTGCCACCTCAACAGTGCGCCGCCGACAGTACTGAACGAATCGAGGTGCTGTGTTCCCCATCCACAAAATGATCCGTGAACTGGAGAGCCAAGGGGTGGTCAGCAAGACCCACTCACCCTTCAACAGTGCCATTTGGCCTGTGCTTAAATCTGAAGGAGAATGGAGATTGACAGTGGACTATTGTGCATTGAATGAAGTGACTCCACCCCTGAGCGCTGCTGTGCGGACATGCTGGAACTGCAGTAGGAGCTGGAGTTCAAGGCAGCAAGGTGGTATGCCACTATGGACATTGCCAAGGCATTTTTCTCCATTCCTCTGGCAGCAGAATGCAGGCCTCAGTTTGCTTTCACCTGGAGAGGCGTGCAGTACACCTGGAACCGGCTGCCCCAGGGGTGGAAGCACAGCCCCACCATCTGCCATGGACTGATCCAGGCTGCACCGGAAAAGGGTGAGGCTCCAGAACATCTGCAATATATTGATGACATCATTGTGTGGGGGAAGACAGCAGCAGAGGTGTTCAAGAAAGGGGAGAAAATCATCCAGATTCTCCTAAAAGCTGGCTTCGCCATCAAGAAGAGCAAAGTCAAGGGACCTGCTCAAGAGATCCAGTTTCTGGGAATGAAGTGGCAAGACGAACGGCGTCAGATTCCCACCGATGTCATCCACAAGATCACAGCAATGTCTCCACCATCTAGCAAGAAAGAAACACAAGCTTTCCTAGGCGCCATAGGTTTTTGGAGGATGCATATTCCCGAATACAGTCAGATCATGAGTCCTCTCTACCTGGTCCCCCGTAAGAACACTTTCCACTGGGGCCCTGAGCAGCAACAAGCCTTTGCACAGATCAAGCAGGAGATTGCTCATGCAGTAGCCCTTGGCCCAGTCAGGACAGGACCAGAGGT